GTGAGCAAGCAGCCAGCCAGGGTTCAAAACCATAACACTGTGAAAACCACCCTGGAGTAGTTCACCTTTGTCTAAGACAGACCCACCAACAGCATCAGTACTCCTGATTTCATGGTGCTGATAAGGCTTGAAAGCCTATCGATGCAATCAGCCAGAAGGCAGCTCTCTCCACATCCAGCTTTTCTCCTACACAGCTGAAGGAGGAAGCAATTAGAGCTCTTTGGAGCTTAATTTTTTATCTCAAATGAGTATGAGAATCAGGCATACATTAAGCATACCAAATGGTCTACATTTTCAGTGGACTGAAGATTTTTAAATTTGCAACTCAGAAAAGGTAATGTTACAAACAGGTAAAATTGTCATATCCTTGAACTAAAGATTTAACAATTAAATTAAATGGGAAGAATATTTCAAAAGCCTTTGATGATTTTATTAACAAATATGCTTTATTTAACATATTATAGCATAAGATTAAACTCAAAATTAATAAAGTAAAATATATGCTTTTGAGGATATAATAAAATCAACAAAATACTATTTTGAAAGTACCAAAAACCCCTCAACAGGTTGTTATATTCTCTGTGGTTTCATTATTATTCTTTCAAACATAGTGCTTATTCACTGTATTTCAGCTGTAAAGCTTCTGCTTTCACCTCCATCTCACTTAAGAATCTATTAATTCCTTTAAAACATGCAAAAAAATGTGTCTTCCAGGAAGAACAGCCACACAGCCATAGAGCTACAGAATTCACTGCAAGAATTCACTACTGATAAATAAAACATCAGTTAGCTCAGTTACAGTTTAAGGCTAGATCCTCAGCTGGTGGAAACGGGCAGTCACTGCCTACAGCAGAACCCAGATGCACCAGTCGACTGCCTGCTTTCAAGTTCCAAGTAGTGGCAAGTTGCTTTGTCAGCTATGGTCTCTCCATAAAGCAGAGTATTGTATATCTCAATAATATTTCATTATCATTCTTACACAGCTCTAGGAAAGTCACATTTTGCAAAGGCAGTATGTTGATTTTTACTCCGCCCCAATATATATATTTGAGAGTAGGTTTCTCTGAACAGTTAAAGGAAACCTTTAGTCAAATTCTTGCATTACATGACAAAAAATCACAGAAGTGTGTGTATATATGTATGTATACATGCAGAAGAAGCCACATCCTTGACACTTGCAGTGTGGCCAGCTGCAATTATATGCCATTTACTGCTACAGACATAGGCCTGTGCTGGGTCACAGAGCACACATAATGAATGTAAACTTTATCCCTTGGTTTGAGAGACCCCACTAAGGGAAGTCTTCCTGTTAGGGAAAGGAGTAAAGCCAGGGACTGTCTGGAAGTGGAGTTTTATTTCAGGCACCTGTATGTGGACCTGGACCTGCCCCATTGAAGTTGCAGAATCAAAGCTTTTTTGCAAAGAGAACAGGGTATTTTACACCAAACTGGTAACTAAGCTAGCATATCAACTTTATGGGCTTTTGTAGAGCAGATAATAAATGATTTTCTCCATTTCCCACCGAGTAGATCTGGTACAAACGATACCACATTTCCTGTTAGCTTCTATAATTTGGAAGCGGCCAAGCTTAGAACGGCAACTGAGCACACTGAAAGGCATCAGCACTGGGAGTAAAACACTCACTTCCAGCTCCTAGAAATAGCACTCAATGACATTTCTTCAGCAGATGAAGAGTTATATTTTTAACTGCAAGCATGGTCTCTGTGCAGGTTGGTTTAATCAGCGTTTCGGGAAGTAAAAATCCAAAGTGGCCGGTGTCACGCAGCTCAAACGCAAATGCGTAGGGGATGCCATTTTTGTAGGCCCAGTCCATAGAGCTACCGGAACTCACATCTGAAAGAGGGAATTCAGAGAAAACTTTAAACAATGTTAAATGTAGGTCATGTTGAAAGCACCAGAGTATTTTTGTGGCATTTTATCTCCCAGACTCAGGGACTATACCTACACCTCCAGCTGTTGCTTGCCTTGGTCCTGAGCACCCTGCAGAGAAGGGCATGGGCACCTGGCACCTCGTGGAAGGTGCTCACCACAATATGGGATCAGACCCTAAAGTAATCTACATTCTCCTTTTCAGTGTGCTTTTAAAATTATTTTCTCTTAATTTCTGTCATGTTTTCTCACCATTTCCTTACAGCATAAGAGCATTTGCATAGGTGGTGTCTAATATTAACAAACCTTCCTGAAGAAGTGTGCTTCTTAGGCTTTCATTTTCCCCATATGTTGATTACCCAAAACACTTATGTTTATATAAAGATCCATCTCTCATGTGGCCTGTTGTCTTCTGTGCAATTCTGGTATTAACTCATAGCGAATGACTGCGCTGTAATGAGCACAAGATGATGACCATGCTGTGAGATGTAGGCCCACAATAAAGTCGAGCTCCAGCCAAAACACAGCAACAGCAGAAGAGATGCAGGAGGTTACTTTAGAAAAATCTTGCTATTTACTTAAGCTTCTTACTTTTTCAATCTCTGTTATCATTACCAAGAGTATTCAGGCCTCATAGTTTCAAATAAAAAAAAGTGTCTTGTTGAAACCTATTGAACTTCTTTTTCCCTTACTTCTCTCCATGGAGAGCTTGCCTGATAAATGTTTTTACATATTTAAAAGGCATATTGTAAAGATATTTTGTTATAGAGAAAAAGGCATTTGAAATCACTCTCTGAAAAATGGAAGATGTCCAAATAAAGATACTGTTGCTATCATTTATCACCATCTAGACATAGAGACATTTGAAACCTATCTCTAAAGAGATCATCCTAAATTTTAGAATGAGCTCTATGAATAGCTGTATCTATCACAGCTGCACAGAAGGAGAGGGAAAGTAATGGTAAAAAACGAAACCTACTTTGAATTATTTCCTCCCAAATATTTTATAACTTAGTAGTGCCTTTACAGTATCTGATAAAGATTTTTTTTAAAGATCTTCTGGTTTATCTTTCTTTTTTAAAAAAACTGTTTTAATATGTTCTGAACATGTTATTTGCTGGCTTTCACCTCTCAAATGCATTGCATTTCAATCTCTTTTATTGCATCAGTTGGGTTAATGTTACTGCAATCAACTGACTGAACCAGTTACAAAACTTCATCTTCCGCCTTTCTCACCATCCTCAACTGGAGCAAAGTTCACTATAAACAACATTTGCTTTCTTTGTTATAATAAGGGTAATCTCCTTCTTATTATAGGTAGGTCCAAGTCACAAACTTGTGCCAGAGGAAAACTTACACAAAGTGCTAGATGCAGGACCGTATCTGTATCTTATACCATAGGCTGACTCAAGAGCGTTAACAGCATTATAGGCTGCTGATTCCTGTGTGGGGGAGAAAAACAAATACATAAATTAGACTTTGAATTAAATACTGTAATGGGATTGGAACCTGAGCTATGGATCATTGACTTCCTGCACAATGCTGTGTTCTGTGAGTCCATGACAGCTAATTTTAAATGATTTTAAAGGACATATGCATTATTTATTTTTATTGACAGCAGTTCCCTAATTCCTCGAAAAACTTGGTTCAGTATTTTCATGGTGTAAAGAAGCTCACTGCACTGTGAATGATCAGCCATTAAATATTTGTAATTATAAGTATATATACCAATTTAATGACACAACAAATTTAGGCAACATGTGAGACCATGAGAAAAAATAATCTGTTTTATGCAGTTTAAAAGCCATGTGTGCATTTTCTGCCAGTACCTGTGGATGCACTTCCCAGTCCACTAAACCTCATCTCTGCTGGGCTTGTGAAGGAGAAATTATCTCTTGGTGACACACCACCATGGTTCAGTGAGCAGAGTGGGAAGAAGGAAGGAGGCAAATTCCACTCCTGAATCTCTGATGGACGGACTGCTGGTCTAACTTTCTGTGGGGCCAGATGATGTAGGCTTGGAGAACTCTTCCCACTATTGCAGAAATGTGATTTCAGTACTGTATGGGGAAAACCAGCACCTACATTTCAACAACCATATGGATGCAGTCTGTTTAGAAGATTCATGGCGTCCTGTGAAATTGGGTGCAGAAGGCCTGACCCATGGCAAATTCTGAGGGTCACATGTGGATAGTGCCTTCAAACACAGAGAAAGGATGCATGTTTTCAAAAAGAAAAAGGAATATTATGATCCCAGAGAAAAGGATCCTGCTGGATGTACAGTGATGGCTGGGAATATCTAGGAAAACACAGAGACATCTCCCTGTAGAGAGCAGGAAATGAACATATTTGGAGCTAGAAACTGTTGGACTTTGAACCACTGGGAAAAGCTGCAATGTTTGTTTTAGTTGTTTTATTTCCATGAGCTGAAGTGCTGTAGGTTTCAGTTTATGCAAGTCTTCATGAACTTGGTCCTTACCTTGTCCTTCATCAGGCACTAGATGAATGCACTAGGGAAGGATTACTCTATACTTGCCTTTCCGTTTATACATTTTCCCTACCCTTCACCTTGTTTGCCATTGTCAGAAATCGAGATTCTGGCTTAATTCTCAGTCTGACCCATGCAGATTTTTTTTCTGTGGGTCTTTGTCTGCCCAAGTAGAGAAGCCAGAGCAAACACCTTTGTCATTCCAGGGAAGAAAAAAAAAAGTTCATTTTAACTTACTGGCCAGCAATTAGGGCTTTGGAGAGTTTATTTTACACTGTGAACTGCTCTTAGCAAATGGAGGAGCACTTTTTTACTCCATTCTAAAAATCCGTTAGGCACAACTAGGTTTGTTTGCTTGTTTGTTTTTCAGCACAGGGATGACAGCACTGGAGACTGACATTTTTAGCTTGCCCCTTCTCTTCCTCTTGCCACTTCCAGGAGAGACTGCATGGAGGCAGGGACCGCTGGTCAGCGCTTTCAGGAACTTCTGCTGGGTTGGGATGTGATCGCCAGCCGGTGTGAGGGGTAATTGCTGACTCACCCTAACACCAAAGATGAGTAGGTGGGAGGAGGTCCGAGGAAAGGGGAAGTGCTGTCACTTGGGACTCTTCCTCCTCTTACAGATGCCTCAATTTCTGTGAGTCATGACACACAAGACTCATGATGGGGTTGGAGGTGTTGGACTCCTTGAGGGCAGCAGGGTGGCAGTGTGAGGCCACTGGGGTGGCCATGGGGCCTCACGGGGAGTGGGGAGCTCCTGCAGCCTGGGGCTGTCGCCTGCACTGAAGTCCCAGGTACCAGGCCGAGTTGCTCAACAGAAATTTGGCAAGCAGCTGTGCTTACCATCCCAGGGCCATGGCGTGGAGCTGGTACAGCCTCACAACAGGCCTGACGCCAAGGGAGCAGGAGGCAAGGCTCAACTGAGGGAGCTGAGATGGGTGGAGAGCAATGTCCTGGTAAATGCACCATGGGAAGGAGAACACAGCCACAAAGAAGACTCCCTGCACATGAGTTACGCATTGTACAGCAATAAGACAACAGAAGCAAGCCCTGTTGAAATCTTTCTGAAGAAATAATTTGGCAATGCCCATTTAAAACCAGCACAACAGTACTGGGCTCTGTGCAGAGGCAGCAACTGTCTGAAGGCCAGCCCAGGAATGACCCAAGTGCACGTCCACCACGTAGGCAGGCGTCCCTGGGCGCTGTGAGCTGGACACTGTTAGCCTTGAGGGGTGCTCCTTGCTTCCACTGTTGGAGTTATATGCCCAAAGAAGGGGACAGTTCTCAACTGCATCATACTGTGCAGGCTGGATCCTGAATAAAGCTGGGCAACCGGTCTTTGAACACCCTCAAGCAGAAAGCTTCATATAAAATTACCAGATTTTTATAAAGACATACACAAACTCAGTCATGCTGTATAAGTTCACTGGCAAACAACTGTACAGGAAGAGAAGGGATAAAAAATATGTGAAATTTAAAACTCTTGAGATGGATGAATGTTTTCATTTTTCAATCTAAAAGTACACTTTCATTTTAAGTATCTTAAAAGAACAGATTTCAGGAGAGTGTTAATAAGAGTTGTGCCTAAATTAGAACAGAATATGCATGTTGTGATCAGTACACGGCTCTCCAGTTTCAAAGCAACTCTGAATAATTGAACACTTTAATTGAAATGGTAACTGACAGCTCACTAGAATGACACAGCCCAGACAGAAATATCCTTTCTTCTGCTCTGGGTTAATTGTGGCCCCCTGTTAGCATCAAATGTTATTTATCTGCTATGCGTGTGGAGTCCTACAGTTGTCCGCTGTACACAGTCCATGTAGACCAACAAAGCTTGTTCCATCAGCAGCAGGAAAGAGAGATCTGCCACTTTCCAGCTTGCTGTAATTTCCAAGAGAACTAGAGAATCTGAAGCATTAGCCTAAGTTAACATTTTAGAAGCTTCAAATATTAAAGACTATTCATTTAGTCAAGGTGATGGAGCCTTTGGCTGTAGGCAAATATTAAGACACAAAATAAGTAACATAATTCCATTCATTTTCACTATGATCCCCATAACGAGCTTTCTAAATAACAGGAAATTACTTCAGTTTCTCATTCCAACCTCCCTGTTCTTTTTGACCCACTGCAATAAAAAGAAGTATAGAATCCAAATACTGGCAAAATATTTAGAATTGGGATTTGGCTTCTGTTTGTCCAGGGCTGTTGTCCAAAACAGTGTCTTTCTTTGTCCCTTTCAGTCTGTGCTCCATTCCCTCCGATAAGAAGCCTGATCCAACGTCTCACAAACCTGGGGAACACCTACATGTCAAAAACTGGGTTCCTTTGGTCTAAAAGCTGTGGATGGAAAGTTAAGAGTGTGTGTGCCAAGGGGCAGTTACTCCCTGTCTCAGAATGGAAATAGCCCGTGAGCAACAAGAACAACATGTACTGAAGACTTACTGGGGTGTGTGAAAACACTCAGTTATAGACTCCTTTTCCTTACAATGAATTTCCTGACACAGTGTCTGCTATTGCCTTATGTTACTCTAGATATTTTTCCTCAGATACCAAATAATCATTACTTGTTGAGGAGATGCTGATTCTTCCTAAAACCATGCCTTTACCTTCTGCTGTGTTGTGTGTCCTTCAAAAAATATTCTTGCACCTGGTGGTCTTCAAAGGAATGAGATCCTGTATGGTGTTAAGTTTCCAGTCTATGTTTTTTGGTAAGTAATAATCGCCAGTTCACCTGGGGAGCTCCTTTCTCTTTATCACTCACCAAAAGAGGGTGGAGAAGGTAGAATGAAAAAAAGATTAATGGATTTATTCACAGTCAAGGCAGAGCTGGGTGGTCAGTCCCCACGTCTCATATTTTTAGCTCCTCTGGCTGCTTAGTTAATGTCTAATTTGCTCAGTTTCCGAGGAATGACATCAAACAGGAGAATTTTTAGTAGCTGCTGAATTTAAATGTCTTAACAGAAATAAGCCCACAAAGAGAGTTTAGTTTGTGGAGTGTTGGCTGCTCAGCCTCCTGAGAGGGCAGCTTCAGTGAAGCTCCAGGGACTGACAACATCATTTATTCTGCACAGGATAAATCTAAGGTGCAGTTAAGCTCCTTTGGAGTAAACCAGCTTAAAATAGTAAGTTAAAAGTCACTGCAACTTTCAAGGCCAAAATGGGAGATTTATGGACAGTGTAATTTACTGGTGACTGAGGGTGAAAGAAAGAGGCTTGCAACTGGTTGGTGCAATGTATGTGTGCAAGCAGGAGCAAATGGAAAGTAAAGCTTAGCCACGTTTCCCTAAGAGAATAAGCCATAGGGAGAGTTTTATGTACAGGAGGCTGGCTAAAAACAGACTTCGGACTGCAGGCAGAGGGAAGAATTCTTCTGCATTTGGATGGGCACAAAATATGTGAAATATACATATCTGTAAATCAATAGCCTTGCATCAAAAAACTTATTAATTTATTATTCTAATAAACAAAAGCCCCTGATGTGAATTAACTGCTTGTCTTAAAGGGTTAAAACCCCATAATGTCTGAGCAGGGTGATATATAAAGCAATTGAAGCTTTACTTTTGGTGAAATCTAGGAGATTTCTCCTCTAATTGATAAACATAAGTCATTAAAATTTTATTTTCTTCATAATATTGAAGATGATCTTCTTTATGCTCCTGTTTTTTAAGTTCTGAGCATGAGGGGACAGAATTTCAGCTAGATGCCCAAGGTCTTAACTACATAATTCCCATTACAGTTAATTAAATAAAATTATAATAACTCTAATTAAAACCCAGGGATTTATCCTATAAAGTAATTTAAAGGGACTGATGGATGGAAGGCACTATACCATTTTAATCAAATTACTGCTGACTCACTTTGAGAGAAGGTTATATAACCAGAAATGTGATTGCAAGCGGATCCAGAATAAATACCGCTCAATATTAAATACGTGCGAAGTATTGAAGAAACAAGTCTCCTCTCAAAACAAAACACAAACACACACAAATTATATAGGGAAGCATATTATCCCAAATTTTAATGTACTTACCACACAGCTGAAGTTTGGAATCGTTGCGTATTTGTAAGAGTAAGGGTACAGCAGCATCTGTGCATATGCGTGGAAGGACAAATAAGCTTTTATTTGTTTCCGATGTTTGCGGAGAAAATGAGCAACAGCCTTTACTTCAGGCTCAGACTCAGGAAAGGGACCACAGTAGGTATCATCACATGGGTGAAATGAAGCACCTTCATCTAGAGAGTGAAAGTGAAAATTCATGGTAAGCCACCATGGAGAATTTCCAAGGGTCAACTTCTGCCTCAGCCTGTGTGGGCCCATGTGCAAAAGTGTGAAAAACAATAAACAAATTGCTTTCTTGTGACTGATGGGAGTGAGCCAGTGGGACCTCAGTAAAGCAGTCTGCTCCATCGTATAGTAGACACGCCAAGCTGCCAACTGGCCAACTACATGCAGTTCTTGCCAGAGGACGTATTCTTAACCCAACAAAAAAAGGAGACCCTGACTTCATTGTATTTTCTTCCCTGGCTTTCCGTATGAGTGGCACATTTTATGATAGCATTCTAGCGTTAAGACTATTGAAGGGTCTCAGTCTATTTGAAATCAGAGTGCTGTACCTCTTTCACTAGTCACTGCCAAGACAAATCTAGCCTTTAAGAGCATTTTAATGTACTAGCTGTTACAGTGATGGTTACAATGGTAGGTAGATAACCTCAGCAGGCATTATCTTAGAGATGGGTTTAAAACATGAAACTAGTCCTTGACTACTGCCTGTTTTTACTCTTGCAGACCTCATGGGGAAAAAAAAAAAGACAAGCTGCATGGGATGATTGCTCAGTTAGCTAAAACAGAAATCATCTCAGTTTGCACAGGGCTTATTTTTCCTTCAAGTTTGGGGCAGAGGTTCACTTGTGAGGATGTCTTTCACCATGTCAACCTGCTCAGGTGGCAGTAAGCTGCAGAAGTGTGGCCTCCATGAAATATCGCATGAAGTACTGAAAGATGAAACTCAGAAAAGCAGATGTTGCAGGGGCTCCTTTATCATTTAGTAACTCTGGATCTAAGCCACTATCTCATTCACAACTTAGGGCCTGGGCCTAAAAGAACAATACTTATGCAAATCCTCTCTGCTCTTTTATCCACTGCGATTTCAAAATGCCACATGTTTTACACTGACCTGCAGAATAATAATAGTTTGTTTGCGACATTCCCTGGTGTCATCAGGGACCTACAAGAGCAGTGTTTTATTAGCTTTCCTTTGTATAGTAAGTACAGCCATCTTCAAATAATAAGAAAAGAGCGGTGTGTGAGAAGGCATAATAATACGAACTAAAACAGGGTTATGCAATCAACTTAATGCCAAAAAAAATTAAAAGTGGAAGAATTTCATGCTGCAGCTTAATTTGTAATATGAAGATTGAAGCAGCCATTCAATGGCCACAGGTGGGGATTTCAGAAGGTATTAGTGCTTAGATTGCAGGGACTATGGAAGGGTTATATAGAGGGCAGATGGTCTCCTCCCTGCAGAACAGATGGCCACCAAGTCATCCAAATCCCAAGAGCACTCTGCTATTTAAAAGAGCCTCCGGAGCCTTTGGGGTTTTTTTATGGATACTTCACCTCCTGTAACAGTGTTGTACACGGAATCATTAAAATGGACATCACTGTTAACAAACAGCAGACTCCTACAGGCTAATGGTAAAATGACCCAACGGTAAAATATGACTCAGTTTAGTGACTTTCAGTGAAGAAAAAACTCTCTAAGCTGTCCAGACTACTATGAGCCATTTGCAATCCCAGCTGTAGTTAATGCTTTTCCTTAAGTGAAGCTGGCTGGTAGTAAAAAGAGAGGGTTTCCATGGTGGCCTTGGAAAATGTAAGGATATCCTCAATTTTCGTACTGGAAGTTGTTTTAAAGTAACACAAGAAGGAAAAAAATGACACAGTACATATCAACTCCTGTGAAATTTCTGAGATACAGTCATGATAAGAAAATGGAATTGCATAAAATGTTACCGATGCCTTATTTTTGTACCTGATAGCATACCAGGAGAGGACAAGTATCCTTCAATATCCATCATGAGATCAAATGTACAAAGGAAATGTGTGCAGAGGCTGATAAAACCAATGCAGGAACTGGAGCACAATTCTCAAACTTCCTTGCAGCCACTTCTTCTGCCAGTATGGGGTACTGTCCTCAGTGAGCAATGGGTGCACTGGAAATTGGGGTGCACTGGAAATTTTAACTCCCACTGCTGGTGTCTTGGAACCTTTGGATGAAACCCCCTTAACTGGATTTGCCCTATGATATAATTTAGTTCTAAGTACCTTATTATTGGCTTTAAAGTTGCTATTTATTTCATGAACATTAAACCATTGTGCTAGTTACTGCACATATACATATATATATATTTATATAAATATATTACAAGGAGCATTTCTACCCAGAGATCTTGCTGTTAGTATTCCTCTGGGTCTGTGTGCAATTTCTGTACACTATTTTGGGTACAGGGCACTGCAGAGTGAAATCTACCACAATGAGTGATATGGCCCTTTTCTCGATTCCTAGAGAACACAGAAGCAACATCATAAAGCTTACATCAAAGTCCTACATTAGAAGGGAAGCGGAAAGCAGAAGGGATGCTGTGTTATCTTTACCAATGCAGCTAGCATTCAGCAGCTTTGCTGGGGCTGGATTCTGTGACAACACACCTGCCTGGAAGCCCCCCAGTGAAGTTCAAACCTGTCTGCAAACTGTAAGTGCAACTGAACTGAATTAAAAGGTTTTTACAAGCATACGCAGTATTAAATGTTAAAGACACCGTGGTTATACAAGCCTCAAAGTGTGATATGATCCAGATTCTTCTCTGCCTCATTTAGTGTCAGATTAATGAGAACATAGGGTGCTAGGTGAGGATCTTCTGAGCACCAGTCAGCCCAGTTCATGAAAGAGCTCTTTATTCTCTGGCAAAATAGAGAATCCGGCAGAGTTTGGGGTCTGGTGAGGGAAGCAGAGCATGTGCTTGGTGGGATGACGAGCAGCCTTGAAGGAATTTATATTTTTTAAATGTGGGATGAGGACCTGTATTTCATGTTCAGTGTGGGGGAGAACTGCAGCAAGCAGTGGATTACAACACACAATGTGCGTGTGTATGTTACAGTTCAATTCAGCCCAGAAAAAAAATGTTTTTCAGTTAAAACTAAGCAAACATTTTCAGGACTGAGTAAAAAGTGTGCTTTAATACAGTGGCTAGGGAGCAGGAAGAGGAAGGAGCGGAGTGATTTGAACCCAAGGAAGATTTATTAGGACTAGAAATAAAATGCAGTACATGAGTATTAACGTTGCACTGGTAAGTACCTATAATACGGCTCTGAAGACTTTGTAAGAGAACTGTTCATTCCAGCTACGCTGGTGGCTATCTTCTGAAGAGTGAATGTGTGTCCCCAAAATACCTGCAGTTGTGACTCATGCACTTAAGTAAAAGATGATAACAGTGATGCAGGACTTAGGTTCTTTTTTACATTTTTGCAGCATAAAATTGCCTTAAATATAGTGCTAGGAGCCCTAGGACTGTATTCTGTAGTGGAGGGATTCTCAGCTAACATAGTTTTTTGTGGCTACTTCTGTGTCAGTCCTCTCCTTACTGCAAGTAGAGTCGAAAAAAATTGGAAGCGTATTTCAGAGGTCTATACTGTACTCAATGTATGCTTCTGTTCACTCTCGCCTCATTTGTAATCTCCCCAGGCAGATTATTCACACTCACTTTTATCCTTACGGTTCTCAAAAATCTACTTAAAGAATGCAGTGCAGCAATCCAGACTGTACAGTGCCTACTCCTACTGCAAGTAATTGGAGTATTGTGGAAACATCTAGAGACTTCCAGTGGAAGAGGGACGGGCTGAAGGGAGGGCCATTTGCGACATTACACAAACACAATTTCTGTCTTTAAAAGTTTATAATGTAAATAAGGAAGGTGGACAAATGCTGGAGGAGAAAACAGCTGCACAGAGAGGTGAAGGAAGTTGCTTGAGATGGGAGAGCAGGTCAGCAGAAAAGAACCAGGTGTGTGTCGCTGTATTTCACATCAAAGCACTATTACTTTCTGCTGCAGCAGAACTGGTGTGGCTGCTTGCTCCTGTGTGAGTTGCACTGTCTTGCTGTAAGATTTAATGAAATACCATTTCTTCTTCAGCGGACTCATTCCAAATCTTCTAATAGTATTTCATTACCACTGCATTCTCTATGCAAAATCAAGGTCAATTTTTATGGAAGTATTTACAGAAGTGCTGGGAGTTTAAAATTGGATCTCTGTGCATTTAGAAGCACCTTCTTTCTTTATTCAATCACTAATAATAATGGCCTTAAAGTATTCTCAACATTTCTCTGTGAGGCCAACAAAGCAAGTCTGACATTTCCAAAGCTAAAGCCATTTCAGAGAAATGATGAATTAAATAAAATGAAATTTGAAAAGTTTCCTAAAGCTGTAGTCAGGTAAATTCTGAAACATGATGGGCCAGGCTCAATACCATGCTTCAAATTACTATACACGATTACAGAAATACAGAATAGCTGAATGTGTGGTTTTTTATTTTTGCCACACTTGCCATGAAAACCTTTTGCTTGTGATGATATGTGTTTTTTCAAAGTTCAGGACTTTTATTTTTTTAGAAGCTAGAAGGAAGATTTGAGCACTGGCTTGTGGCTTTATGGGAAAGAAGCTTCAACTTTGACTATGGAAAAGAGAGCACTTCACAGTGGATGCTACCTAAACCTACTTACTCTGTTGGATAATTAAATACAGGGTAATCTGAACTGGTGGACCAAAGTATCTCCAGACTTACCACACCACTTCACTTTCCAGTTGCGATTAGCATCAACACCATGACACCGAAACCTTGTGTTCTTTGATCTTGTTTTTCTCCAAAATCGATCCTAACGTAAGTTATAAAATAGTTAAATAGCAACATTACTATATTTTGACAAAAATCTATTTGTACACATAACAAAACAACCCTGGTGAACATATTCATTATTATATATTAACTGGAGTAATGTACTTCCATTTTGCATGCCACAAAGTGATGGACCAGATTATACAAAACATCACCTTTGAATGATGGAGCAACCATTCGATCTTTCCTGTCTGAACAATTTTTTGACTAATAGTACTGATACTACTTACATTTGTCCAGCTAAAATGATATCCATCCACATTAAATACAGGCATGATATAGAAATACAGCTGAGTTAGCATCCTTCTCATGGCAGGATCAGTCTCGTATGTCTGAAGAGCCTAAAGCAGAAAAAGTCAAATAAAGTAGCTTCCATAATAAAAATAATTTCCCAATTAAGTATTGTGACAGGCTAAGTCAGTCATGTGCCTTTGGCAGTATGCAGACCTGATCTCATGGTACCACTGACATCCTTAGAGCTGTACTTGAAAGGCTGACATCTTCCTGCAAATGTGATTAAAGGCAGCATGTGAACATGTGAAAAAGGTGTTCAAAAGGCCCTATTCTCTCTACTTCTCAGTCACCTTCAACAGCAAAGAAAATACAACTCACATTACAGAAAAGCAAATGCATACAAAATGTTTCTTGATGTAGGAGCTGAAAGTCAGTGGAATAGATTCTTAGTTGAGGAAATGAGTTTAGCTCCTGTAAGACAATGGAGTGCTGTTGTTTCCACCAGATGATGATTTGGTGAGGTCAGAGCATGTCTTAAGTGTTTAAGGCTCACATTACATAAGCTTTTGTTGTATTCAAAGGAATTTACTATATGTCCAATCATCAACAGAGGCAGACGATTCCTTTATAATTTAGAAAACCCTCTGCTTTTGGAGAACCTCAAATATAAAGGTTAGGAGAGGAAGACTGGGCAGGGAAAGTATTTTTTTTTCCATTCTGCACCTTAGAAAAATGCAGCAAACCAAAGGCTCCTCAGCAGTTGTGTTTGCTAGTACCAGAGATGCTCCTTTACCAGTTTCAGGAAGCTCAGACTCCACATGCTGTAGCAAAACCTGTGCTTTGTCATAGCTGGGCATCAAACTTGCATCCTGCAAAGTTTAAGTCTTGATTCTGTAAGGCGAGGAATCAGGTGCTTCACCTGCCAAGCAAAAAGCGTATCACACTGATGCTGGGTTCAGAGAGATGCCTGAGGCTGGCTCCTCTCCTCCCAGGGCTGCAATTACAGCCACCTGCTCTGCAGTATTTCTGGCCCTCCAGATCCCAGATGTAATATGTTTGGGGGGACAAAGTGAAACGTTTGCTCTGAAATAAACTAAGCTAAAAGCTTTTCAGTTGACAAATGACAGTGAACAGTGTGAAGTACAGAATTTGATACCTCTGGGCAACCAACCATGCAGCTGTTTGGATTATTGAAGCTGCTACAGGAGCTGACAGATGCTTTTTTGTGGAGTAGCTATAAGAAATACCCATACAATTGGACATGTCTGGGGCTGAAATTTACTCATGGAGGAGTTTGAACATTTATTTTTTTCTTTATTGAAAGCCTAGTGAGACTTCTAAATGCTTTTTCTAAGCCATTAATTAACCACCTTTCTGTGGTGCTGTACTTTCTCCACACCCATGGCTCAGCTTCCCCCCCAGCAGTGCTCTGCATGTGCAGGTCCTTCACCTTCACTTGCAGATCCAAAGCAGCACGTCACCCCTATGCAAAGCCATCAAGCCACCCAGTGCTGCTCCATGCTGAGCTCCTCGTCTGTGTCAGCAAGGGGAGAGGAGGGGAAGGTGAGCTATAGAAGGTGAAGGGGGCACGGCGCATAATGAAATGAGACTTGGGCAGCAGCTGGGACAGGGTGGTGTGGAGCATCACAGGGTGGGATGAGCTGCTGAAAGAAGGTAAGGTTATCGCAGGGGAGAAGAGGATGACAGTGGGCTTTTGAGAGAAAGTTTGGTAGAGCTATGGACTGCCTGGGAAAAAGTCCCTGGCCAATGCAGAGGTCACAGGTCCCCTGGCCCACATGCCAGAAATTCCCCTAAGATTCCTAGCTGGAATGGTATTGCATTTAAATTCAGTTTACTTGTATTAGGAAGCCACATTAAGACCACAAATACATTTGGATAAAAATATTGGTATTCAGGGAACTGTAGCTATAGTAAACAGTAATTTTGTCAAAAAAGAAAGCAATGGTTACTCAAAAATAATGGCCATGAAAACAAGGGCTGTGTTTTATTGATGTTACACATGCAGAAAACACATACTGAAGTAACAAGGGCTACTCTGTGCATTAAGCTAGCCCTGCACTTGAATCTTCACAGGATTAAGAGCCTATATGATAAGTATGGATGTTAAATCTGTAAGACTGCTCTTACAGTGGAAACAGAACTAAGTTGTGCTCCAAAACGTAAGTCAAGGAAAATGGACATTTTTTTCATGCTCATTTCAGGGAGAAGTAATTCGGTTGGGGAGGAAATAAGTCACCACACACCACTTCCTTGACTTTTTAATGCTCTTATCTTTTTAGACAGTATTAACAAATCAAGCTCGTGTTGTGTCTCTGTGATGAGTATTTACATTTCAGTGATAATGAGATTGGCATATATGCTTGTATCTGTATTTACATAGACCATTTGTTTGCTGTCAGTTACATCTGTAATTATGCATTTTGTTACAATGTAGTGTTATATACTGTTTTTTAAACTGCAATCCTATAAGATTAAACCCTTTAAAACACTTTTAAAATAATCTCCTTAAAATAACTAGATAATTAACTAATTAATTAAAGCTAATAGACGCCTTAAAAATTGCCTGGATGAGCTTTGCACATTTTTCAGAACCTTTCCAAATTTGCAAAAAGTGACATAATGAAAATATTTGAATGAAAACTTTTTAATGTTCAATATGTTTTAAATCCAGTGAAGAATATATTTTTCTTGCTAGGTAAAACCACCTCCATTTAAAAACCAGAACAAAACATAGACTGCAATGTGCTAAGCTCCTTTCTATTTGTTAAAGCTACTCTGTTATTTTAATGCCTGCTGTCATTGACAAAATACTATGAGACTTTAGAAAGCATTATAGTCTCCAGTAATACTCTTCAAAATTTTAAGTCTTGAAGTTGATTTAGAGCCAAATATGTCAATCATTCAATTCTGTTCTTTAAAGTATATATGGTTTATCTTAATAATTTGGTTACCCTTTTAGAGCAGCATTTCATAGTGTGACAGACCTTGTGCAACTTTCTTCACGGAAAGCAAAATTGTCAATGGTATAACCTGGTGCAAGTGACATCATATTCATGCTTTCTGCTGAAAATATTTTGTCCTTCATACTGTTTTTATCTGGCAGTTTAATTTGATATATGTAATCAGGCAACACAGACTGTATCATCTTACCTCCCTTAACAGGGAGGTTTTTGACTCTCTGCCTTACAGTTACTAAGATGTGTCATTGCTGGAGCATAGCCCACAACTTGCCTTTGTGACGTGACTCTCAAATCCTCCGAACAACGATCATGCGAACCACCGCCCCCGGCAGTGTTGAAACATTTTCTCTTCCCCATGACACAAGCAAGACGACTATAAACCATTAGTGAATTAACTGCATTGTAGTTTGCACAGAGCTCTCAGAATACAAAGTAATGTGACTTTATACAGCTTGATTCTGCTTCCCCATCATGCAATCAATAGCAGCTTTGCTGCTGAATGCGCAGAGAGCCAGACTGGCCCAATAAATGCTGAATAGTGTTATTAGTGAATGAACAGATGATACAGGAACCCTGCCAACACCCTGAAATCAGCCTGGGGGATGGGGGAAAGGACCAGTGATTAATAGGAGGGGGCTCAATCACCTGGATCAGCAGAGTGGTGGTTGTTGATTGAGCTATGCCAGCTTAGGCTGGCTGAGTATCTGGTCCATAAGAAATTTAATTTGGAGAAAGAAGTGAACAAAAGAGCTATATTGTAAACTGCCAAGGCAATAAAAGGCAAGAGTTTAAAATGGATTTAGGATGCAGTTGGGTGTTTTATAAAGTACGGGGACTGACTGAGAAGGACAAAGCAAGGAGATGGGGTTCAGAGAAACTCTTAAATTGCAGTTGAACTTAGTAATGATTTGCTGTCCCACAATTAATTATTATTAAATTTAAGGTAACAATTAGCTTTTGTTGTTTCTGGCTTTGAATTAAACAATCACACTGAATTAAACAGTTACTATTTTAGTACAGGGAATTGACTCCATTGCTGCTCTACCAGAGATCACATAAAACAGCTTCCAACAAAACAGGATTAACACTTCCATGCAATTATTAACATATCAGTTAAAACATCCATATGGTAACATACTATGTTTTACTATTGTCTGTATATCTTATATTTCAGTGACACTATGATCTGTCGTTCAAGCTTTCATTTCCATTTTATCAGTTTGGTAAATTAATAGTTAGCTCGGTCTCTGTACTTGGAAGCAGTACATCTTTTTATCTCCATTTTCTCTTTTACTGCTAGTGTCCCGCTTTGGCACTCAAATCACAGAGTGGTAAGCCCGTAAGATATTACTGAGTATCTAAACCCAAATGTCTTAAAACAAAGGGTCAAATTTTCAAGGCTGAAGTGTGAACTGTGTCTGATTTTTTTTTTTTTCCTGGCAAGCAAAATCTTCCTTCCTCTTTGGGAGCATTTCCCACAGGAGAAACAACTGAGAAAGATGACAGTGTGCTGCACCTACTCTGCAACACTAAGAAGAGAGCCCATAAAAAGTGAAAGAAGGACCTGCAGGATCCCAAAGGCTTGCTTACACTCGTACTTCAGGATGCAAATGGAGAAGATGCTGAAGCAGAGAAGAGGGAGAGGTACGATGGCATGATCGACATGTTGGAGAAGCAAACAGCAGTTCCTGGAAGCTTGCGCAAAGCTGGGACCACCCAAGCAAATGCAGGATATTTTGGGGAAGAAGCTGGGTAGTTACACAGATGTTAGTGGAAAGAGGAGACACGACTTCCTGGTTCTACTCTGAGAGATAGTACAGAAAAAAACCTCATAGGTCCCAAATAAGTCAAGGACTGCCTAGCAGGGAAAAGAAACGCCTGAGTTATTCTGAAGCATTGTGTATACCCTGAAAGAGGCAACACAAATTTCTCTACTAGTAATTGTATGAAACTAAAGCCCACCAACTTGGTGGAGGCCACAGAAGAAGGTAATTCTTCAATTTTACGTCCTGTTATGTTGGTCCAGATTAGACCATATTGAGGGCAACCCAACAGAACTCACTTGAACACATTGTTTAGTTAAATTGTTGAGACACAGTTAAATAACTAATATGCAAATTATTGCT